CTCTCAGCCAAATCAAAATTCACTATCAATGGCGTAAAGAAACAACCAAACCAAAGCTTGCGTGCCCGAAACCATTGAAACAATCGCAACCCAAAGATATTTAAATACAAAAATTGAAACCCATCGAAAAACTTTTATTTCCTTGAAAATTGTGACACTGCTAGAAGCAGTCCACAGAGTAAAAAAAGAGAGAGAGAGAGGGTGGGGTTGGGCGTAGGTTGCGACTCGCGAGTGGAGATGGGGGCGATCGGGTTGTGGGCAAGAAAAAACAGAGGGAGAGGGAGAGCACAAGGGGAGAGAGAACAAAGGGAGTGAGCGAGAGAGGGTAGCGGGGGAGATAGAGGCGGCAGAGGGGAAGAGAGACGAAGCAGAGCTGCAACTTTTTTATATAAATTTTTTTTTTAGTAGTTTTTTAGATTTTAAATGTGAAACTATTTTTTTTATAAAAAAAATTATTTAGATTCACTTAGTATTATCTCATTGGATATGTGGTTACCATATACATGCCACATCATCAATTTAACAGAATTTTTGACGGGACGGAACATAATGACAGGGATCAAATTAATGTGTAACATAAAAAACCAATAATTTCAGAAAAAAAACATAAAAATCAAAAGTGATAATTTCGCAAACCTCAATAATCATTTGTGACGGAAACCCTTCTTTTATTGAATTTTGTGGTTGCTCTTGCTCTTTTGGTGAATTATAAAAAAAATATTTTTGACTTGAACACTAATTAATACCATTTCATTAAAGTTTTCTTAAACTTGATGATGTGGCATGTACAGATCATTTTGGGATCCAAATTTTTTGTTGTCCCTGCCATTATTAATTGAATTTATATTAAGATGTTGTCCAGTCCGAATTTCAAACACGTCATTAGAGTCATAGTCTAGTGATTGTTTTCAGCCGCTATATCTCTTATGCTTTTATAGTGAAATTAATATATATATATATATATAGCATTGCATTGCATGCAAACAAAAACAGTGGGATTTATGACCAAAACAAAAACAAAAACAGTGAGATTGGAAAAGCAATTAACTACTCGATCTAGAGTCTAGATATCAAAGGACTTTTGTTCATACCTGTGGAAGAGGAAGAATAGCTAAAATGTCAACTATGATGGACGACTCCAGTATCTCCTGTGTTATACTTGGTATTAGATATTCCTGCTCATGAACTTCAGTTACTTCAGGTAATAACTCACGAAAGCATTCGATGAGTGATGTTATTAACTTGGAGGAGCAACTTTTGGGGAGAATTCGATTGATCGAAGGCGAACAATTTTCAAATCTACAAACTTGCAAAATAATTCTGCCTACATAAAATAGATCAGTGAACAATCGCAAGACGAGAGCGATAATCTTTATGGTGTTGTCCAACCTCACACACTTCAAATCGTGGTTGAGGAGAGGAATGTAGAGGAACAAAGGATCCAGGAAAACGCCAAGCACACATGATGTTATAAATATTTTAGTCAACCGTGCTGCAAGATTTGATTTTTTCGCATCTTCATCTATCGTGGCAGAATTTTCAGTTATCTGGTTTGAATTTGGGTAATCTGTTCTGCTGCCAAGACACAAAGAACATAAAATTACGCACATAGGATAGAATTAAAGATTTGGCTGTGGTTATACTATTATTAATATTATTGCAACGCAATGACTTTAGCATGTCATCAAACCAACAAAAGGTTAAACTGTTCTGAAGGAAAAAAGTTGAATTTGGTGCAGGCATGTGAAACTTGTACGTATATAGAGAAACTAACCTTGCAACTCTCTCTTTCAAGTAGTCTGGAACTGAAGTTGCTCCAGCTTTCTCTAAATCACCGGGAGCGGGAGCCATACAAAACTAAAACCTTTTTTATTTTTTTGCCTTTTTTCCTTTTTGCATAAACTGAATCTGATCTTGCTAGTGGAATTTGCAAATGATGGAGTAAACCCCTTTTAAATCTCAAATTTTCTACAACTGAAGTCAAGTTATGAGAATGGTAGATGCTCTTTGGTTTGTGTGGACTAATTTCTGCCACGTTTTGAATCTTCTTGAATGCACCTGGGCTCCATGAGCATGAAAAGGAGAGCTTTTTTTATTTTTTATATAAAAAAATAATTATTTAAATTTAAAGGCAGAAAGTGAGTAAGCACTTGTCCAATTGTCCTGAATGTATTATTTGTCGTGGAATTAATGCAGGTACAAAACAAGGGAAAATGAATTTCCCTGGATAAAGTTTTCATGGTTGGGGGAGCAAGTAATGAGTAATGATATGTCTTTTTCTTTCTTTTATGAACCGTTTATTTTTCAAGTATCTAATTATAGATTATTTTTGTTAAAAACTGAAGAAATTAAAATTATTAACATATTTAATTGCGAACAGATGAATATGGTGATTAAAAACACACTAAAATAACAACCATTTGATTGAGTGTTCATTTGATTTTCGAATTCAAGTGATTTTTTGTTATGATGATGTTTGAATGAATACCTAAAAAATTGACGATTCTGATCATGGAAAAATAATATGAGTTTATCACACAAGAATATCCCTCAAATAACCGTATTTGAAAGAATCTCTCAATTAAAACTCTAACATATTATATATATATACACACTAACGCAAAACAATGAGATTGGGAAAAATAATTAACACTAGAGTTTAGATCAACAATAATTGCTATATAAAATAAGATCTGTGTGAGAGACTTAGTGTTGACATTTGGTCAACCTTGTCCTCAATTTCTTCTTTTGTTGAAGTCCCCAAGTCTTTTTCTTAGTCACCTACTACTCTTCCTCCAAGTGCAGTGAAGCGACTGACTGTGAACAATAATTGTGGCCAAAGTGAACGAAAAATCAAAGATTCCGAACGTTCTTTTCCTACAGTCCTCTGAAAATAATAATAATAATAATAATTAACCTCACGTGTAACATGCAAAATTATCTATATTATTTAACCATTGAGCCCAACCTAACTGAGGAGGAAGGACAAACACTTGTAAAGTGTTCAGTGGTTTTGTGTTTTTCCTTCAGTGGTTTACACAACGACAAAGACATAGACGTTTTAAAATCATACCAGTATCAAAATCACCACAAATGAAGATGAAGATGAAGATGAAGATGGCGACTCGCAATTTTAAAAAACAATTTTACCACATTATTTGGGAAGTTGGTGCAAATCATCAGCATCATAACAGTATCTGAATCACGTCAAGACAAAGTCATATTAGATAATTCAATATATACATCACTTTCCAGGAGATTCAATATATTTAGTTTGATAGCTTTGTGCAATTATCCTTCCGATTAGGATCCTGTTTAAATTTGAAAATTAAAGCGATGAGTGCTCAGCAGAGTATGAACTTTGGAGCACAAATAGCCCATAACTATTGATTTAGAAGGGTAAATTTGCATCAATACCATATGGACTTGTATTGTGTCTTAATAATTTATTTCTTTTGGTAAATTATTACTTAAACTTTACTTTTAAAGGGGGTGCGTGAGACTCGTAAAGACTGACTTGTACTCAACTCCAATGAACTCGTATTGTGTTTTAATCTCAAATTTTTTTATGAACTTTTATAGAATTAATCTTTGTTTACATTTGTAAAAATTTAATTTTATGAACATTTTCACTTAAAAAGTTATAAATTATAAAAACATAATTGTATTTGATTATAAAACACAGAGGCACGAATTATGAACAATGGGTGGGTATATAGACCTAGGAATGATTTTCGGGGTTGAATACGATATAATTTAACTAATATCAACCTTTTGGCCTTGGATATTCTTTTTACCGTTAAATTTCATTAGATTCAATCAAGGTCGTCTGATTGGAAATAGACACTAAGTTTTTTTTATTAAAATAAAATGAAAATTTTGAATTTGCAACAGTCCAATAACCACGACCGTTCGCTGATGACAGAGACAATTCAAGTGTGCGACAATTGTATAGTGGCGGGCCCCGCATTGCATCAAAGAAAACAAAAGAGGGGCCAGCCATCACGTGGTCTAGTGGGCTTCACCAGTGTGCTCCATCAAATTTGGGCCCCTTGTATACAAGTGTTGGGAGTAATTTTGAGAGTAACCCGCTGAAAAGATTCTTATACAACCAGTGGGCCCAATTATCTTACATTATTTGCTCCACTTGAGGACCGTTTTCTGATTTCGGATCTACAAACAAGTTTGCCGTTTGAATCTTCCGACCAAAAAAAAAAAAAAACCTTTCAACATGCGATGTACACGTAGAGAACCTACTTGTATTTCTTTCAAATTAATTCAATATAAAAGTTTAGTTCCTCAAATAAAAAAAGAGTTTAGTATACGTTTTGGTCAACAACTTGACTATAAATTGTGAAAGATAATTTATAGATAGGGTTAATTTCAGCTTGGTATCCTGCAGTTTTATGCATTTTTCGACTAAAAAGAAAGAAGAGTCTTTGCTATTTCAAGTCAGGTGTCCTTTTTATTGGTTGGAAAGTCAGGTGTCCTTGGGTATACATCCAGTGCAAGGTGTGTAAATTAGAGATTAAAAAGGTCCAAGTAACTCTTTGTTTTAATAGTATTTCTTATGTTAGAGATATAACTCTAATTTCAATCTCTCTCTCTCTCTCTCTCTCTTGTTGATAATTTAAATATAAAAAAAAAATTATAAAACTGGTAATATAAAAAAATTGAACAGGAGAGGTCTGGTACTATTTATGTAAACAAAAAAAAGTTGCAGAAATTTATTACATCAATTAAAAACAAAAAAATGTCCTAACTTAACCCTCAAAAAATTGTTGCTAACTATCCAACTAATCACATACCTCACGTCCATCCTCACAGGGCTAGCTTGAGCATTGGCAATTGTTTTAATTGGATTTGATTTTGATCCAAACAAGTAAGTTGTTGTTATAAGAGCAGTTACTCATGCACTTGAATCTTGTATTCGAATCTCCTTTTTTTTAATATCGTTTATATAAAAAGAAAAAATAAATAAATAAATTAGTAACACCAAGTTGAGGAACGAGCCATGGGCAAAGTTCTTAACCGGAAGGAGATATGCTGTGCGTTTGGACATGGAAGGATTTTATGTGCAGAGAGCACATGACATTCTAACAGTTACAAAGCCCAGAACAAAATTGCTAATCAACTTGAATAATTGAATAATCGATTATAGTTACACTTCGACAAGGCTGAACCTTAGCCAAGTCGTTGGCCATAAGAACCAGAACTTCAACTTCACCAATGGCCCGAAAACTAAAAGGAGATAAGGGCAACTCGGCAGAAAAGACGGTATATTTAGATCGCGCCCAATATTCTATAAGGTCGTCTCCACTGTGATTTGAACGTTCTGCTTCATTGCGGTAATGTTTCCAGTACTCGTTTGTCACCGCAACAACTCCCCTCACGATGAAGAACATCATTTCCATTGGTTCATTTAGTTGAATAATGTCCTCATCTTCGTACTTTTTGAGCTCAAGATGCCCACATATTTCTTTCAACACTTTCTCATCCATAGTCTTAAGTCTTTCCACCTAGGATTGGATACCATGTTTGTTCAAGCAAAGAGAGAGAATTAGAATATAAATAATATATCATATAATCAATTAAAATAGAATAAGTTGATATATGTAAGAAGATATTCTACTTTTTTACAAATCACAATTTGCACGTATGTTGAGGAACTTACATTCTTTAGCATAGTCAATGGGTCCCGAGTCGAAGGCTCTGACTGAGAATATGTAAGGAGGGTGCTCTCCCTGGTGAAACTCGATCTGAATTTTGAGACTACACTCTTCAAGTCGTCGGCACTGAGAGCAAGGATTTCAACAGGACCACCACGGGGGCCGCGTAGCGCAGAACCAGTTGACAAAGGTAGTTTGGCAGGAAAGGAGCTATGTGATACCCAAGTTGTAACCCAATGTGCAAGTTCTTCTCCATAAAAACCTCCCATTTCACAGGTTTTTGGCCTTTCAATAATACGGTTGTTTTCAATAGTTACAACTCCCCGCACGACGAAGAACATCATTTTAAGTGGTTCGTTCTCTCGAATAATATAGGTGTTTTTAAAAGGGTAGTTCACGACATCAAGACGCTCAGAAATTGCTTCCAACACTTGTTTGTCCATATGTCGAAATATTTCCACCTAGAATTAGACATAAATTGTTAATTAAGAAGACTATGAAGGAATTCTAAAAGATAGTACTAGCTATAGGATGATCATGGGTTTAGTTGGATGTGTTCTTCATTAAGTTCCAAATAGAGAGATGGAGCAACTTACTTTCTTTAGCCTAGTCAACCGAACAAAAGTAAAAAGATCTAGCGGAGAGGCGATCTTGCTGAAATGTGACACGAAGTTATCAGAGGCTAAACTCTTCAAGACTTCTGCAGTTAGAACGAGGAATTCAGCATCGTTTGAGACTACTTTAGCAGTACAGGTCGACAAGGGTAGTATCTCAGGAAAAGACTTATCCAGTACCCACTCAACAAGTTCTTCTCCAAAAAAATATCCTGCACGACCGGTCTCATCATTTATTACCTTTCCCCTCGTGACGAAGAACATCATGCTAAGTGGTCGGTACTCTTGAACAATGTTGACGTTGTGTCCATAGACGTTCGATTGAAGATGTTCAGACATTGCTTTCAACACTTGTTTATCCATGTTTCGAAGCTTCGGCACCTAGAGTTAGATATTTTAGCAAATATAAAGAGAAAATAATATATAAGTCGAATAAGTAACATCATTATTACTGTATCTGTATAGATATATGTCTTCCTCCCGAGAGAGGAACTTACTTCTTGTAGCATAGTCACCTTGTCACAAGTCAAAAGCTCCCAATGCGAATCCGTTCGATCACTCATCCCCAACTTATTGAAATCTGACCTGAATCTAGAGCCTATACTGACCATGTCGCTGGCCAAGAGAACAAGGGCTTCAACATCATCAATGGCCTGAACAGACTCGGTTGCTATAGGTCTTGTCCCATGGAAGGACGTCCATGATGGCCAAACTAGAAGTTTCTCTCCATACAGATCTCCGGCACCTAGTTGGAACTCACTGGAACAATCTTTCTTTTTAATGATTACATGTCCTTCCACGACAAAAAGCATCATTTCAAGTGGTCGATCCTCTTTAATAATGATTTGATTAGTATACCTCTTGGGCTTAAGATGCTTTGAGATTTCTATCAAAACTTGTTCATCCATGTTTCGAAGTGGTGGGTCCTAGGTTTAGATGCAATGTTTAATAAAAGTAGCCACCAATTAGAAATCTAATAAGTAATTAAGCTAGGATGGATAATTGTTGTGAAAAATTAAATATGGCCAGGCTATATATACTAAAGCGATGAGTTTGTACGAACCTCTACGTTCTTCAGCCTACTCAAGGGCTTGCATTTTTCGATATAGTTTTGAAGTTCCCCGGGAAGAATAGAGAGGATTTCCTTATCCACATCAATATCCCAGTTTTCTTCAAGTTCTATTCGTACCTTTTCCATGATGTCCGGCTTTTTACACAGGGGAGTGCCATGTTTAGATAACCATAATCCTACATCTCGGCCTTTTGCTTTCATCTTCCGTTCAAGTCTCATCTCGCGTCTGTGCGACTCTAATCTTTCAGTATCTAACAGTACATATGTCTGTTTCACAACAACAAGGTTAAGCCTCATTAATTCTGCATTTTTATATATCCCAAAAGCCAGCCATACTCAAATGAGAAAAGAAAAAATCATGAGGAGCTTTAAGCTTAAAGAAAACTTTATATATAAAAATATTCACCGCACCAAACCTGCAAATTCCCAATGAGATATACAAATAGTAGCAAGCCGATTATAGAAATACAAGCCACAAAGAGGATTTCCCATGTATTGGAGCTCGGTTCGAGATTTGAAGCAAGAGAACTGCAAAAATGAAATGGATCACAATACATAAGATACAAATTTGGACTTTTATTTATTTGTAATAGTATAGCTCAATCTGCAAAGATCAAAAGGGTTTCACATGTACAAACCTCAAATTCCGCAAGCCCCAACAAAAACTGTTCGAAAACTTCAGCGGATAGTTTGTTGACCACAATATACCCGACTGAAGGACACTTAGGTATATACCAAAATCAAAGAGAGTTGTATTTGAAGAATTTATAGGGCATAAATCATCTAGAATCGTAATATTTCTCAATGTACGGTGATCATGACAGTCAATAGTACTAGGGCCACATCCATTTTCATATTGACATGCATGTTGCCAGCAACTTGTCATTTGTTGAACAGCAAAGAAGTACCAAAAAGCTCCAACTACCTAAAGAACTCAACAAGTTAGCGATGAGAAAATTTTAAATAACGCTAATAAGTTCTCATAAAAAGAAAATTTCAAATGTTTTTAAATGATTTATGATGTTGAAACTTACATGACTAGCAAGGATGTAGAGAAAAAAATTGAGTAAAGCTTTAACCCATAATGCGGTATGTCCTTTGAAAGGTTTTTTGGATTTCTTGCATGATAAGTAGATGCGAAGAACTCGTGGTACATATTGCACCATAACAAGAAAGTTCATAAGCTTCCTTAAAGATCTTGAGGCCCTCATTTTTGAAAAGAAAATGAGAATTATCACCTGGAGTACACATTGCAATAATATTAACAACATGTCGTGAGATATAAAATAGTGACCTGTCCTAATTTCAAAGACAATATTGCATTTCATATTTGATACTTTTTGGTGTCAATATCACATTTCATTTGGTCAGTAGCATCGTACGTGGTCCTAATCTCTTATGCTTTTACAGTGAAATTAATATATATATATATACATAAATTCTTCTATATGTAACGTTATTATCGTGTGTACGTATATATATATACATAAATTCTTCTATATGTAACGTTATTATCGTGTGTACGTCATGTATTTTATACTACCCCTTCATGCTTTCCTCTATATTTACCAGTGTTTTCAAAGGCATGCCTTTGCGCACGTCGGAGCGAGGCGGCAAGAGATTGCCTGAGGCGGTCGGTTGTTTCACAAGCTGCACGTTTAGCGGGGTGAGGCGTGGGAAGGCGTGACAAGGCGCTGCAAGTCCTGGCCAGGCAGACAAGGCGGCGCAAGGAAGAAGAAGAAGAGTTCGCGAGGAAGAAGAAGAAGAGTCCGCGTGAATTTTTTTTGAGATATTCAGTCATATACCCATTCTTAGCACTAATAATATAGATAAACTCTACACCATTTAATTTTATAAACAAACCCAAAAACTGACAGCTGGCCCTATTGAATTTAATTTTGATTATTAAATTACTTCGATGCCCTATTGAGTGTTTTGGGTATTTTTATGAGGTTTTGGGGTTGGGCTTGTTTTAAGAAATTGATGGCAGTTTTGCAATTTATAAGAAGTTAAAAGCCTCTTTGTTATGTTGTAAATGGGCTTTGGGTGTGTTTCTAAAGTCCATTTCATATAGGGTTTTTTTTTAAATAATTTGGGCCCCTATATTTGGTATAATAGTGAATCTCCCAATTTTTTTTAGGGTTGTAAAACGACGTCGTTTCACTTTCAGTCTTTTTAAAATTGAGGTTACTTAAAATTTATAAAATAAAAAAAAACTGAGGTTACTTAAATGAAACGCACGTTCAGTATTGTTTCTTTCCTTTTTTTCTAATGAAATTAATATATATTATAAATTGATATATTAAGTTAATAATACATGTTGTGTATTGTATATATCAATTGCAGATTCTATTCTACTTACCTTTTTTTTTTCCTTCTTTCTAAATTAATATATTAACATATAGTATAGTACAACCCTAATTTCTACCATTACCCAATAATCCCCATCATTCGGTATGAATAAATATTTTATGTTTTGGGATTGATTATTATGCCTGAATGATAATTAGTACTTATATTTGATTATATATTTAAAAGATTGTTATGGTTCAATAAGAATTAGTAGTACAATTTAATTGTATTGTATTATTTATAATTTTTTCCTATTAAAATAAATTAATGTTCGAAAGGCTTACACCTCACGTAGCGTGACTAAAATGCCTCGCATCTATGCCTTGTCTTTCAAAACATTGATATTTACAATAGCATCCGTGCAGTAATAACGAGCGAACATCCGAATGAGAGAATAACTATTTATATATACAATTGCACGCAGACAAAAACAGTGAGATTGGAAAAATAATTAACTCTAGTCTAGATGAAAGGGCTTCTCATACCTGTGGAAGAGGAAGAATAGCTAAAATGTCAACTATGATGTATGACTGCCATATCTTCCATAGTTCAGCTTTCTTGGACGACCAACTTCCGGGACGAAATAGTTTGATTAAATTTGAACAATTCTTATATCTGTAAACTTGAAAGACAATATGTGCTATATAAAACAGATCTGTGACCGATCGTGAGACAAGAGCTGTAATCTTCAAGTTGTTGTCCAACCTCAGACACTTCATTTCGTAGTTGAGGATAGGAATGTAGAGGAACAAAGGATCCAGCGAAACAGCAAACACACATGATGTTATAAACATGAAATTCCACTTTGCTAGAATTTTCTTCGTTGCAGGCCATTTTAGACATGATTTTTGTTCATCTTTCAGGGCAGAATTTTCGGTTATCGTCTTTGAATTCGGATCATCTGCACTGCTGGGGAAGACAAAAGAAGAAAGCATTTAAGGTGCCCAACCCAAGTAACAAAATCCTTATTAAGAGAGAGACGGAAGAAATTTATAAGCATGTGAAATATTGAAGATGATTAAATATTTGGGTGTGGTTAAATTGCAACACGGCAATATACATGAAAAGCCCTTGGAGATATACAAGTCCAATTGTTTGATAGAACTTTTGTTTAAGAAAGGAAAAAAATTAAAATGGTGCATGTGTTGGAGAAACTAACCTTGCAACGTTCACTTCCGTAGCCGCCATGCACAACTCAAACTCTTCTTTCTTTTTCTTTTTCTTTTTTCGGCAGAAACTGAATAACTTGAAAGAATTCTGGAATTTGCAAATGATGGAGCAGCTCTCCCTTATGGAACCAAATTTGAGATCTCAAATTTTCTACAACTGATGAAGTCAAGTTATAAGAATGGTAGATACAAGTAGATGCAATAACCCACAGTTTAATAGAATTGACTTCAACCCATGCAGTAGTTGAAAAATATAATAATATTTCATCCTGGCAAGTTGTTTGAATTCATTGATTGCAGTACTAGTTGTCATACTAAAAAAATGTATTATTAAAAAAAAACATGTTCAAATGCTTGGCAAAGAAAAAATAGTGATTGCAGTACTAGTTGTCATATTTTGTTGTGATTAGGGGAAAATCCCTCACTAATCGCGGTTTGAACATCTCAACATGATTGCATGACTTTGAAATGACATATTTTATAGGTCATCGAGTACCGCCAACTTAAGGCTATTCATTTCAGGTAAACAAAATATATAGCAACTTGATTCATGTTCATCCACTGGTAAATCAAACTGTAAAATGTATCATTCTTATTTGTATTGAAACTTGAAACAAACTTAAGCGCCCGTTCTCCGACTTGCTAAATCTTTTTTTTTTTTTGGTCAAAGAAATGAACATGTCATTACCATAGAGAGTTACATAAAAGCCCAATACAAAAGTCATAAAAATAAAAATAAGGGCTCAACTAAACAAAATAAAAGTCCAATCCAAAATACTATATTGTACACACAAAAGAAAAGCTACTTGAATTTCTATCGAATAAATTCAATTAAAAAATGTTGAATAGGTTTTGGTCAAGAACTTGATAATAAGCTGCAAAATGTAATTTTGCGTATATACATGTTCAAGTTCCCAAGAGTAATGCCAGGTTGAGGAATGACCATAATTTGCCCAGGGCAAGTTCTTACACTGGAATTTGTGACAAATCCAAGGGATTTATGTACAGAGAGCACAAATTGATAGTAAACTTGAATAATTGAACAGTATGTAGATTTAATTTATGATATATATGCCTTCACCAGATTTGTGTAATTGCAGACCAAACCCGTCCTTGGACAAGTAATCTCACCGTCATTCTTCCTGGCCATTTCTTCAAGAGCCTGCCAAATCATAAACTAAGTTCAGATCATTTCCAGACTAAATAGCCAATGTTGTCTAATACTAGTAAAATGCATGCGAACCTTAGAGCTGTAGACATAACACTGATTGCAGCCAGTGGGCAATGTTTAGAGTATATTGAAAAACTAAAAAAATCTAGCATG